TAAACATTTTGGAAAATTTCCTTAGCGCTTTCCCATGTCTTCGAAAGAATTGCTCTTCCCTTCCGAATCTGCTCGAATAAAGGGTTGATCTGAGGAATGACTGACTGGGAGCTACTGTATCAGACAGTGGCGGGTATTCAAAAATTCCTAAAGTTGGGTGGAGAAAAAAGTGAAATTTGAAAGCATCTACTTTCCAAAAGTGGTGATAGACTGGAAAATCTTCAGAAATGACAAGTCAATGATCTCTCCCAGTGCGCCCCAGTAGAACCGCTGCGCTTAGAGGTTAAAAAAATCTTATTAATTTTTCAGATAAGCTCTCATCAAGAGGTGATCACTGGAGACAACGACAGCCTTTGGGAAATGGGTAGTGGTCAGGAGGCTCCACTGCGCGCTTGAAACGAGGTCACCTCTAGAACATTCCTGTTTATAGTGAAAAGCGTAGCTGCAGATTGGAAGAAGCCGCGCTTTCGTTTTTCTTTTATGTCTAATATAGTCAATTACTTTCTTGCACTAGGTGGTGTCTTGGAGTATGGCGCAGTAGGAACGAAACCGTCGCCTCGCGGTGAGAGGTACGCCGCAGCACATAAAAATACAGGAACAAAGAAACTAACAGTAGAATCACGTATAAAATAAGGATCGCAAGAAGGATTGAGCTGTATGAAGAATGGTAGAGCTGTAATAACGGCAAAGGAATGGTCCGCGACAGCCGCGTGCGGCGAATCGATTACAGAGAACCGTTCCTACTGCCCGCTTCCCGTTGTTTTGCCTTTCAAACTAGAGTTCCTTTAAAATCATTTATTCTCTGCTTCTTAACTCGTCAGTTAATCATTTACTCAAGTAACAAAAATGTTAAAATGCGAATCTGCTCATGTTACAGACTAGAACATCGATATGGAACAAACTAACAATTTCAACAGCATCAATCAATAGTTGACCGGTATTTGTCTGTCTAGTACCCTACCCAAACCTTACATCGTTGATCCGGCTTGGGATACATTGGAGAACCTTGCCGGCAGCCGAAATCCTTTCCAAAGGACGGAATATCCTGCATAACCTGGTTTGTTCGGCATGATCCAGGCGCATGGGGATTCGTCAACAGCTGAAAGTGATTACTTACTATTTCCCATTACTAGTATACTCGCAGAGTTATAGCGAAAAATTACCTGGTTGACTAGGTTAGCATCACTTTGTTTCATACACCACGAATAACCGTAAGTTATCCAAAAGATCTGATTCGGGGAATATTGTTCCAGTCCGGGCAATCTGCAATTACACAAAGATATGGACCAATGTATCACCATCACCTCGTTGAGGTGAGGCTCCTCAGCCACATTGGCCATCCCTCATACATACGGCGTTGTAGAGGCTGCACCATTCACAAGAACCACCCATGGAGGAACTTCAAGCAATTAGTCGACAGTGGAAGAGGATTTTGGGCATTTTTGGCTTAATACAATCAGCTTCTTACGAAAAGCTTCTGCAATACCCCTTTCTCACTCCCTCCCTCCCATATCTGCAGAGGAACAAAGAATATTTTTCAATTGGATTCTTCAATTAGAGTTCTTTTGACGTGTTTGGGTGACGTGTTTGGGTGAATAATACTTGAAGCCACTCTTTTTTGACAGTAATTTAAGTACCCACCAGTTTTTTGTTCTAGTTAGGTTATGTGTTGTATATTCTCAAGATAGAGCTTTGTTGACAGGAACTAACCTGAGTTCCTCATGACCAAGTTCTTTAATGTACTGTTGATAAGCATTATAAGCAGCCTGCTGACCTGGAATTGAAGTTGATTTTCAATTATTAGAAGGCATTTTTAGCGGTTTTATATGCAAGCTTGATCTACTGGTACTTAAATTTATAAAAGGGTGAATGCTCTGGTGAGTTGAAAGTGCTTCTGATCATATTACTTTACTCGAATGTATCCTTTTTCTTATACAAACTGAGTACCATTACCTGCCTACTACAGAATTTTGTCATTGTTAACGAATTCAAATAATAGTAGTAATTCCCCAGAACCATGCCCTCGCATTCTTTCCTTTAGAGCTGTGGAGAACATAAGAAGGGTCTCAAAAGAACCACTAGCCGAGATTTTTTCAAGTCCGAGACATACAGGTTCACACGTTAGGCCGCACTTGTGATATAGGATGACGAACAAGAGTCCCGAAGATCATGGCTCGGCGCAAGGCAACTAGCAAAGACCTGGTGCTATGCGAGGCAACTAACTAAAAGCCGCCATGCGCTGCCATGCTAATTCGTCCTGAGCTGCGTCCTGTGCTTCGAAATAAAGCACATATAACTCTGAGACGACAAGAGAAGTGCTCATATCTATCTATCTATTTTTTAAGACTCACCTCCTAAATCAGCTATATTTTCTCCTTGAGTGGTAGCTCCATTGGCGCAGTGTACATTGCCAGTTTTCTCTGGGCAACACTGAGTGCTAAATATTTTTGTTTTTTCGCTTTTGTGAGGAAAAGAAAAATGAGGAGATGGCAATCTTCACTGCAGTGACGAGCTGTGTTACTTACATCATAAAGTGGTAATATTACCTGTACTGGCTGACAACACACTGTGCCATGTCGGTGAAACCGCTCTTGGAAGTAGTGTCCATCCAACCACATTGATTCCATGTACAATTCGTGAGTGTTCCATCCCACCCAAATTGAACTCCTATGTTTACGAGTTCAAATTTTTAGTCATAAAAAATATCATCAAACCCTTTGAACTAGGAGAACGTCCGTTGCGCGCGTCCATCGAAAGTAGGTCACCCTTTCGAGGTCTCAAGGTGACTACAGTACCACCAAGTGTCAGTGGAGCGAACGATTTGCAATTGTCCGTGTTATCTTCTCTTTGGCTGACTGCCGTGGACCAAGCGCAAATCGTATGCCCCGCTGACAACTGCGTCGTCTGTCAAGTATCGCGGGCTGACCCGCCGCATGCGACGCCTGCGGCGTGACCTAGTTTCGATGGAAGCGCGCAACGAAGCGCACCCCTTTGAACTATCAGATATGTATATGTTCCATTCCAGTGTTGAGCCATTTTATTTGGCTTCTTCAATTTCTTCACAAATTTTTTCGTTGAGATTTTTTGTGAGCACATTAGCAAGGTTCCTATTACTCTAAAATTGGAATTTTAAGGAGTATCTCTTCTATCAAGAGGTCCCTTCGTTTATTTATTTATTTACTTACTTGCCACTTATTTGTTTACATATTTACATACTAAACTTATTTGTTTATTGCCAACTTTTTAGTTGCTTATCTACATAAGGTGGGCTGTTACAAGAACCATACGGGAAATGTTTTATGAAGAAATGCTAATTTCACAGCAGTTACTTTTTACTTGTTAGTACTTTACTGTCTTATGGTTAGGGCTAGCACCACTTTATGGAACAAATCCGCGACAGCTAGGACAACACGTTGCTTCCAACTTGTCATGGATTCACGGTACGTTAAATTAAGTCTCAATTCACCGAGTGCTTCCAAGTCAAAACGGCCTTGCTGGAAGAAGAAGTAAAAGTTTTTCCAGTAACTGAGTAATATAAATTCATAACAATTTTTAAAGAACAGGTATATGTAGCATTTACGCCTGTTGTCTCTATTTCAGGGAGGAGTAGGAACGGTTTTGTGTAATCGATTCGCCGCACACACAGCAGTCGCGGACCATCCGCCTCGTTGTTACAGTTCTAGCGTTCTTCATACAGCTAGATCGATAATCCATTACTATTCTCGGATGATATTAATGTTAATTCTTTTATTCCTGTATTTCTTACTTGCTGCTGTATTCTGCTGTATTCCTCGTCGCGCGCGGCCTCTTTCGCCGCGACGCGGCGCTTTCGTTCCTACTGCAAGACACCCCTTCTGAGGAACTAAATTAGAACTGCTTGATCAACGGGAAAAGTGGCAAATTCAGATATTTCACCAAACTTTTTCGTATTTTTTAGTATTTTTCACAGTTTTTCGTATTTCAAAGCTTAGTCGTGTGGAGAAGACACTTCAGCAAGTCTTAGAAATCCCGGTGGAGTACGTTACTTCTTCTACTACGTACCTTTTGTCTTGTTGGGCTTTTCGATACAACTTCTCTTGCAAACGAGTTATGACCCACGAACAATTTACGTTGGCTCACCTTCATCATCGAAACCGTGGGTCAGCTCGTGGCCACCTGTACCACCTTGTCCAGCGTAATTGTAAGCCTGTGGATATTGTAGACTGTAAAAAAGTAGTTAGTTTTATATGGCATTCAGCTTACTGAAGCTCTCAATGACTCAATTCTGAGAGGCTTCTCAAGCATGCTGCTCACTTGTAATAAGGTGGATTCCATATAGCGTAAGGGAATGTGATAGAATTTCGTTCCGGTTGGTACCAGGCATTTACCATGGCTGGTGATTGAAGGAAGTTTGACCTGAAATCTTTTACTCGTAGCTTCTTTTACTACAAATCATTCAGACAGGGCTCAGTCAAAGTCAAAGATCACAACGTGCACGAAACGTTAGAAATCGTGCATGTGTACGGAAGGTGGGCTATTTCTTGTTTCCAGTAACTTTCAGCTATTTCGAGCATTGTTACTTGTAAATAGAACTTATTGTCCTAGCATTTCCAAATATTTCCCCTGCAAGCATAACACGCTAGCATCTGGGCGGTCCTATAAAATAGAAAACTCCGATTTTTTCTTAGATACTGCTAGCTAGGTTCCTGAAACTGGCTCCCGGGGTTTCCGTGGCTTTGACATGAGCTGTTTGAAAAGCTCGAGGATGAGTGCTGCCTGAAACTCAGGAAAAGACTGAACATACCTATCCCCTTTGTTATCAGGTGCCACGAGGAGTCGGAACGCTTCACGATTCTCTAAGCCTGCTTTAAGTATATTCATTATAGTATAGAAGTCTGTTTTGTTTAAGTTAAATGCCGCAATGATCGGGAAGTAGTCAGCCTAAATTCAGAGCATTTTCTGGGAAATGAAAAATCATTAAGCTGTAGTGATTCGTAGCTCACATTGTGGTAGGCGTCGACTGTGGTCGAGTCCTTGAAGTCACCGAATAGTGCAGTAGGCCAACCGTAGTTTTTCAGGATGTGGTCAGCTGTATTCATTATTTAACATGTGGAATATTAAGATGGAGTGTAAACCAGAACTCATACTCACATTTATACTTTGCCGCGGCTTTCGATTCCGGAGTCATCCAATCCAGGGTGGTGATCATCGCCTTCAAATAAGATCATACATGTTTCTCATGAGCCTTATATTCATCTTCTAAGTCTTCAAAAAATGTAAGTTATACTTTAGTTAGTAGTGATAAGTTACTGGAGGCTTCTTGGGGCCTCGGTAGTGTAATGTGTAAAATGTGACCCCTTGGAAAGCATAGAAGTGACAGCAAGGTCCCCCTTGATGCCATCACCCAACGTCATAGCGATAACACACACCACCAACTGCGGCGATAACCAGTTGCGAGGGAAAAATAAATCAAAACCCAAAGATTTCTCGGTAACTCTTTCAAAGAGTGGTCAACACAGGTGCTTCTAAACGAAGGGGTTATGAGCTGAATTTATGGGCTGCGTAACCTAACGCTTCGACAACCGTCTTCCACTAAGAAATATATGCGCTAATTTATTATATTTGGCAAAATTTGCCTATTTGGGTGAGTAGGCGGTGGGTACGCCTGTTGAACTACAAGTGGACTTGGACCCGTTGTTATCGAGCTCTACTTTAGTAAGAGCAGAGTAGGGGTGTGCTCTGAAACCAAACAGAGGTGATGGTGTAAATGGTTCGATGTCTGCAAATAACTCGCGTCACGTCGAAGTCCGTCGAAGTCACGGCTTGTCATTTTCCGTACGAAATCACTTTCAATCCAAACTCTTCTCTTCAACGTAAATCCTAGTTTGGTGGTAGGTGGGGCCCGTATCCGTGTCACGCCCGCCGGTCATTGGCGGTTTACTTCAATTCGCCAATCACGGGCAAGCGTGGCACCACTTAGCATATTGTCCACGGTGTGGTCTTATTTTTAGGGGATGGAAACGATTCAAAAACTCGTATATATATACTGAATGAATGAAGAAAAATTAATAGACTTATAGTCAAAAGCTTAACTATAATTGTGATTTCACATTACTAAACAAACGCGACTATACCTGGAAGTTAGAGATAACTAGATCAGTTTGATGGGTAATATCCTTGATAACCTGATCACGGACAGCTTCCATTGACTTGACATACACATACCCTAGACAACCACTTCAGGCCCACCATTCAAGCAGATCCTTCAAGATATAGAAGTTTACCGGGTCCGTAAGGCATATATGTCATAATCATATCCATACAGCCGACAGCAGGATCTTCATCGTCGAACTTTCTTGCAAAGCGACGGCCAACTCTATGAGTAAAGTTATTACTAGGAATAAGGTAATTTCTGAAAGCTTTCTCACCTAGTTACTCCTCGTCCCCTTCGTTGTGCGTACGGTACATAACCGGATTCTTGTACGGCATTACGGTAGGCCCCTCCGAGGAACGTGAAGTCGTCCTAGGAAAAAGTGTTTATCCAGTGGCTACTGGTTACGAAATTGCAAGATGGACTACAAATACTTACAAATAAAAGTTGAGTAATAATGTAGTTAACGATGACGTTCTGGTCCACTGTGTTACCATTGAAGATCGCGTTTAACCAAGCAAAATACGAAGGCTGTGATATGACCACCTTGAAAAGTTATGGGTTACAACTAAGGTAGAGTCGATATAATCATAAAAAAGTTCCCTATTGACGGGCGATACTATATGATACTATGTAGGATGACGGAGGTGTGTGCATATATGAAAA